TGTAAGGTTGTAATTTTAAAATCCATCATCCAATTTGTCTTTTTGGTTTTACAGTTTTAAGCCATTTCAGTGCAAAGTAGTCAGTTACAAGAGTAAATTCAATAGCTCCTAGATAGCTATAAAAATATTTGATAACCTATACAATAGCAGCACATTCTAATTCTATTGCAAAGTAATTTTGTTCTGCTGCTATTAAACTTTTACTAGTATAAGCAATAGGATGTTCTTTTTCATCTCTATCCTTTTGGCTCAGAGTGGCTCCAAAACTATAATAAAAAGCATCAGTGGCAAGGATAAATCTTTTTCTAAAGTCAGGGTATGCTAGTATAGGTGCAGTGATTAATTTTTCTTTAAGAATATCAAATGCTTCTTGCTATTTGTTTCCTAATGATAGGGTTCATCTTTATGAAAAAGTTGGTTCAAAAGTCGAGCTATAGCAGAGAAGTTTCGAATAAATTGTCGATAATATCCAACTAAACCAAGAAAAGATCGTAACTTGGTAGTGTTCTTTGGGGGTTAAATTTTCTGAACAGTTTCAATTTTCGAGGGATTAGGGCTATTCTTTTAGAGCTAATAATATATCTAAGAAAAGGCAAAGACTTCATCCAGAAGTTGTATTTTTCGAGATTAAGTTTTAATCCTGCATCTCTTATCTATTGAAATACAATCTTTAGATGCTTTAAATAGTTCTCAAATGTCTGAGAGTATACATTGGTATTATCAAGATACACAACTACAAACTTCTAGGCAATTTCTTTGTAAACTTGATTCATAAGTCATTGAAAAGTGGCAGGGACATTGCACAATCCAAATGACATCACATTAAACTCATAGGTGCCATACTTTGTGATAAAAGTAGTCTTTTCTTTATCCTTAGAGTCCATCATGACTTGCCAGTATCCACTAGCTAAGTCTAGAGTTGAAAACCATTGTGATCCTAAGAGTGCATTCAGCATTTCTTGAATTTGAGGTAGTGGGTAGGCATCTTTTTTAGTGATACTGTTAAGCTTTCTGTGATCAACACAGAACCTTAACTTTTCATTTTTTTTTCATACTAGAACAACAGGTGATGCCCAAGGGCTTTCTGAGGGTCGGATAATATTGCTGTCTAACATTCATTCAATTTCTTGTTTGATAAATTCTTGTTTATCCGAGGGGATATTGTAAGGTCGTAGTTTGATAGGTAGTACATCTTTTATGTAAATTTTATGTTTAACTTTATTTGTTCTGCCAAGTTCTGTAATATCCTTAGCAAACAGATCAGCAAATTCTTCTAGCAAGGTTTTGAATACTTGTCCTTGTTCTTTCGTAAATGATCCTATATTTACAGTGTTGGTCTTTTCTAATATATATTCCTCATAAGGAATTAAAGTGTCTATAGTATATACAAAATTGTATTTAAGAGCATTAGCTTGCAAGACCTGTTGCAAAGCTTCTTCTTCTGTTAGTAATTCTTCTAAATCTTCAGGTAGTTTTTCATCTTGCCTAGGATAACTCAAAAATTTTGCTATATAAAGGCTATATGAGCATAGTATTCAGCTCGTTCTTGATAATGTTGAATTTGTTGTTGGAAAAATTCTATCATCTTTTCAAAATTTTCTTCCAAGTACTAGATTCTGGCTTCTAATCGAGCAATAACTTGATCTTTTTCTTCATCCTTTCTCTCGAAAATAGTATACTCACTTAATTTAGGTTTTTCTACCATAATAGTATTATCATAGTATATTTCTTCTGTGGGCTGTTCTGTAGTAATAATATTATCTTGGTGCATTTTTTCTGTAATTGTTTCTTCAACAGGAGGAGGTTTGTCTTTCTCTTAATAACATTCATCGCATAGACCTTACTTGCTCTGCTCGAAATAGGATAGTAATTTTTCAGAGATCTATTCTTGATTATATCTATTATCTTCTTGCTCTTCTATAGCTTCTTCTATGCTTCTATATTCTTCATCAAGTAAAACTTTAACTAGAACAATGATGAGTCCTCCTTCTACTATAGTAGGTTATTCTTTTTTCTTCTATTTGGTCTTTGTTACAACCACATTTGTAAGTTAAATTGTTGAGTTTGAGTTGGGCAAGAGGCAATTAATTTCGATATAACCAAATTCATTATAGCCATAGTATTGGTTATCTGGGCAATCCTTGAACAAGTGAGAAGTTTGTCCACAAGTTCTACAGTTATTTGACCTTTCACATTTGTTGGGGCAATTAATAAGTATATATCCAAATTTGTTGCAATAATAACATTGATTTCTGGAGCAATCCTTGTACTGGTGGTTAGTTTGACCACAGGTTTTGCAAGATGGTTTTCTTCATCAAGGTTGGTAGGTAGTCTATCCTTAATCTTCATCTTCTGAGGATGCAGAAAATACATAAGCTTCATGGGGTATTAGATATTCCTGCTCATATAACTCAAAGTCTTTAGCAGTAGTACAGGTTAGTTTTTTTTCTTTAGACTTTTCTTGCTTATAAGAAGTATCAAGAACAATCTTCTTTCTTTTTCAATAGAGAGTATATTGGCATATTTTCCAATTATAATTGGCTTCTACTTTTTTTGACCAATTATTACCAAGTAGAATAGAATAAGAGATAGCAAGTACAACTTCTACATCCAAAGGGATGAGTCGACTTTGGATCCTAATAGGCAAATTTCTAATAATTACAAGAGGTCTAGAGGTGGTATCAGTAGTAGCAACAATAAGGCTTTTTGATGGCTCTTCAATCTTGAGGTCTAGTTTCTTTACGGTTTGATGCGAGATCATACTGACAGAGGCTCCACTATCAATAATAGCAGGGTAAGTATGATCTTGAATATCAATATAACATTTAACAGAGGTAATTGTACTAATAGGTTGAG